ACATAACGTATATTCTCGATTCTCGGAGACACCTTGCCCGCCGCCCCGCCGTGTCTTACCGCCGCCCGCGTGTGCATCCTCCCTCGCTCATTCACTAGTCGCTGAACGGTAAATTGACTCGATAGAACCTCCTAAAATACGTATTTTCTTAACTCAAAATATGTGACGTAACGGTGTTCTAGGCCCCCCCTACCCTCCACGTCACACACCGTCACGTTTTGCCAAACCCCCCCCTCCCCTAAGCGCGTGACGTAATATGTGGACGACCCCTTATATTGGCGCTCGTGTCTGGTTTCCCTCAAAATTAAATAAATATGCGTCACCGCTAACCTTCAGATGCACTTTGAAGACGGCAGAATAACTTACGTTTACGGCCAGTCCTGACGTTGATCGCTCCGGCTGGGATTTTTAAATCATTGCCCCTGCATCAAAGACTACACCTAATTCAAAATATCAGACTTTCTTTTTCTACCGTTGCTTAGATCACAGTTTTCACACTTCTCCAAAAATGCCTTCTGCTTGGCGTTTGGCGTGGTCCTACCCAGGTAGGGGATCGAGTGACGTCTCGTGCGAGGCTACGTACCGGTGAGGCACTCGGGCGGACGGCGGGTTTGGTTTTCAAGAACAATGAGCAGTTCTGGAGGGCTATCACGGAGCAGGTTGCTTCGGCTCGCTTCTGCTCCCTCCCGGCCGGGTCGGAGCGGGAGCATTCGGCTCCGACCCGGCCCGACCGGGTCGGAAGCACTTCGGTTCGGGTCGGGTCGAGAACCAGCCTGGAGCAACTCGCTCCCTGATAGCCCATAGCAATTCGGTGCTCTCGGTAGCAGACAGTCGTGCGCGAGTTTCGGATCAGTGTTGAAGTTGAAGTTGTTGAAGTGAAGTCATCGGTTTAGCATTAGCATTGTATTTAGTAGCATTAGCGTTCTGTCGTTTCTCTCCACACTATGAATAATCGTCATCATCCATATCGCGCTCCTGCTCCGCAGCGTCCGGCTCCCGGATTGCCTCCACCACCTCGTGAGTCTCTACATTTTCAACCCGCTCGTGCGTTACACTGACACTGACTTTATTTCAAATATTCAGAAGGTGATAGAAAAGACGCGACCCCCCCGCAGTGGCATGCTCTTATGGATTTCATGGAACAGCCGGGCAACCATGTGCTCATTACCAGTGTCGGCGAGGGCCCTAATGGGAAAATAGACCTTATGACCAAATGGAACGCCGCTTCTGTCTATGTAAACCAGTTCGGGCCTGCCAAAAAGTCCGGAGATGGTTGGAAAGAGGTAAAGTTGCATGTGATTGACTAATATAGGTTATGGGTTTTTAGCCCGCCCTTCTGCTTTTAAAAAAGCATTAAAGCGGGCTTATGCAACCGCTCTCGTGTCCGTCTGTCTGTCTGTCTGTCTGTCTGTCCGTCGTCCGTGTAAGAGGAAGGAGATGAGCTAGAGGTCTGCAAATTTCAGGGTATCTTAGGGGTCACTCCTGGACAACGAAACGCCTGGTGCAAATCCTAGCAACCACCCCTAAGGGGGTGAAAGGGGGTAACAAAGAAATAGGGGTTGGTCCAAAAAGTAGAAAAAAAATATTTTTTTTATGGTCTCCTAAGGGGTAACTCGTGAAAGTAGAGCCCTTTGGGCGAAAATTTTGCCCGTTTGACGCTATCTTGAACCGTTTGGGCGCTAGAGTGCTTTTTTCGACGAAAATACGGCGAAAATGACCACGTTGCACATAAAGACGTACAAGGAGGCGTCCAATCGTAAAATGTCAGAGGAAGTACCCCCCCAAAACAACACGTTCTGAATCAAGAACTACCCTCGCATTAGCCGTATCTTTTACTGTTTCGGCCCTAGAGGTGGATATATTGAAAACAATGGCAGAAAGTCAAGTTATAAGACTCTTTGACAAACAATATACAATCTAAAAACTGCGCGGGTTAATTTTTTTTTTAATTTTTAAGCAAAGCAGAAGGGTGGGGTGTAGTCACGGTGTTGCCCCGTTACAGTCTTTTGTCATTTCCAAGGAGCAAATCTCTAGGGCCGCAGGCCCCCAGCCGAACGCTTTAGTTTACTCAAATATGCAAAGTAATTTACCGGTCACATTATTTATTTGATTATGCACTTCAGTAAATCGCGAGACTGAAATGGTCGGGCCGAAGGCCCGACCATCGCCGCCGGCAGGCCAAGCAGGCCCGGCCCCTGCCGAACGGAGTTGCCGGCGCAGCGAAGTGGAGCTGGCAACTCCGTTTGGCGGAAGGGCGGGCCTGCTTGTTATTATTAGTCATGTGATTGTTGTGTGGCTGTAAAATCGCTCTTCCCTCATGTGTCTAACTTGTCTCGTTTTTGCAGGCTTGGAAGGGTCTGCGCACCAGGTCCAAAACTAAGTACCACAGTGTAACCGGCCACAATCTTGGCACAGGTGGGGGCCCTGATGCAGCAACCCTCAAACTACTGTTAAACCCCGTCCAGCTCAGGGTTATAAATCTGCTCAGCAAATGTGCCCTTGATGGGGATGCCAGGGTGCCGGATGCATTGGCCGTTAGTCACTTTATTTGTTTCTGTTTTTAGCCCGCCCTTCTGCTTTTAAAAAAGCATTAAAGCGGGCTTATGCAACCGCTCTCGTGTCCGTCTGTCTGTCTGTCCGTCGTCCGTGTAAGAGGAAGGAGATGAGCTAGAGGTCTGCAAATTTCAGGGTATCTTAGGGATCACTCCTGGACAACGAAACGCCTGGTGCAAATCCTAGCAACCACCCCTAAGGGGGTGAAAGGGGGTAACAAAGAAATAGGGGTTGGTCCAAAAAGTAGAAAAAAAATATTTTTTTTATGGTCTCCTAAGAGGTAACTCGTGAAAGTAGAGCCCTTTGGGCGAAAATTTTGTCCGTTTGACGCTATCTTGAACCGTTTGGGCGCTAGAGTGCTTTTTTCGACGAAAATACGGCGAAAATGACCACGTTGCACATAAAGACGTACAAGGAGGCGTCCAATCGTAAAATGTCAGAGGAAGTACCCCCCCAAAACAACACGTTCTGAATCAAGAACTACCCTCGCATTAGCCGTATCTTTTACTGTTTCGGCCCTAGAGGTGGATATATTGAAAACAATGGCAGAAAGTCAAGTTATAAGACTCTTTGACAAACAATATACAATCTAAAAACTGCGTGGGTTAATTTTTTTTTTATTTTTTAAGCAAAGCAGAAGGGTGGGGTGTAGTCACGGTGTTGCCCCGTTACAGTCTTTTGTCATTTCCAAGGATCAAATCTATAGGGCCGCAGGCCCCCAGCCGAACGCTTTAGTTTACTCAAATATGCAAAGTAATTTACCGGTCACATTATTTATTTGATTATGCACTTCAGTAAATCGCGAGACTGAAATGGTCGGGCCGAAGGCCCGACCATCGCCGCCGGCAGGCCAAGCAGGCCCGGCCCCTGCCGAACGGAGTTGCCGGCGCAGCGAAGTGGAGCTGGCAACTCCGTTTGGCGGAAGGGCGGGCCTGCTTGTTTTAACATGTAGTGAAATGTCTTAGAGGGGCTTTATCTCCCTCAAAAGCATTTTTGGTACATTTGTCAATAAAATTAGTTACCATCCCTCTACCTACAGATCCTCAGCAACTAATTTTGTTGACAAATGAACCAAAAATGCTTTTGAGGAGATAAAAATCCCATTTAAATCTCAAGCAAACAATTTTCACAAAATTTCTAGTCAAAACCACTACATTTCTTTATATTTACTCTTTTTGTTGTCAGATTCAGATTGCCAACCCACCACCCCCACTAGTTCTCCTGGCTCAACCTGGGCTGCAACAACCCCCTGCAGGGCTCCAACCCCCTCCCCAACCTGAGCAAGTAGCAGGGCTTCTACCCCCTGGCCACCCTCAGCCAGTAGCAGGAATTCAACCCCCTGCCCACCATCAGCCAGTAGCAGGACTTCAACCCCCTGCCCACCCTCAGCCAATAGCAGGGCTCCAACCCCCTGCACACCCTCAGCCAGTAGCAGTGCTTCAAGCCCCTGCCCACCCTCAGCCAGTAGCAGGGCATCAACCCCCTGCCCACCCTCAGCCAGCAGCAGGGCTCCAACCCCCTGACCACCCTCAGCCAGCAGCAGGGTTCTCTCAAGTAATTCAACAGCTTGAGTTGCTCAATGAAAGTGTGTTGACACTTATAGATATTGTAAGATCAAGGAACCCCTACTCTACTGATCAGCCAGCACCCATTGAGGTGGATGGAGTAATAGATCTCAGTAAAATGAGATGAGTATTGTTTTTTTTTACTTGATAATGGACTGTTATAAGACTGATTTGTTTTTTACTTGATAATGGACTGTTATAAGACTGATTTGTTTTTGGAAATGAATTTCTCTTTTTATTTCTAGTTATTGACTGTTATTGAAAATGATCAGACTTATTTTTAGTTGATCACTGGCAACTGACAAAGTTTCAGGAAAATAAAAAGTTTACTGAATTATTTATGAATTTCAATAAAACTGTCCATTTAATAAATGCACTTTTATGTAAGATACAATACATAATGATAAAGATGAATAAGTCACACTTAAGTATTACAAAATTTAAATTTCAAATCCTCTGTACAATAATTTACTGTAAAAAACACACCTTACATAGAGAATGAAAATGAAGAATACAGTATTGGCAATTGTAATATTAAATCTAAATTTGAGAATAGATAAGAACACAGTACAGTTAATATGATGCACTCACTGGTGCTGCTGCTGGTGTCGTTGCTGTGCAACTTGCACTAAATGATTCCTATTCCTGTTAGCTTCAGCCAATTCATCTTCAAGTTCCTCAACCTCATGATCATCTACACTGTCATCCTCAGCAAAGGGCTCAGGATCCGCAACATTTCTTGCTCTTAAAAAATTGTGCAGCACAACACACGCCTGGGCAATCTTGCCAGCTTTGTCTGGCTGGTAGTGGAGCGACCTTTCCCAAAGCAGACACCGCCACCTCCCCTTCAACACACCAATGCACCTTTCTACACTGCTTCGTCCTCTGCAATGCAGTCGAGTGTAGCGCCATTCAGGGCTATCAGGAGCTGCCTCCAGGATGGGCTTCATAAGCCACGGCTCATGAGGGTAGGCACTATCTCCTGAAACAATAAATTAGTGTCAGGGGAAAAAACGCAATTTTAAGCAATATCTGTTTTGAAAGGAGTAATATTAACATGTTTCACTTGCCTAAGAGCCAACATGGTCCATCTCGGTATGCCTCCCTCATGGCATTTCTTATGGGTGTCCTGCGATATACCCAGGAATCATGAGCAGATCCAGGAAATTGAGCATTGAAATACAAAATATTTAGGTCAGCATCACAAACCTGAAACAGAATAGATAAACAATTCGTAACTACAAATAAATTATCACACTTTTTAAAATGACAATAGATACATGAATTAATTACTTACCACTAGTGTGTTGATGGCATAAAAACCCTTCCTAGATCGGTATATGTGCTTGGCTGGCTCATGAGGAGATGCCAGTCCAACCAGACTACCATCTACGTAACCCAACACTCCTGGGAAACCCCGTCTTGTATTCCTAAACAACATGTGGTAATTAAGTATAATGTATAATGACAAGGCGGTGGTAGAACATGGTAGTGCTCTGTCCGAAGTGCGAAAAAAAATATCAAAGAAACCTTCAGAAAACAAATTGAAGCATCAGTTCAGTGCACCAAGTGTGCTAACTGGTGGCACGCAGTGTGTGCAAACATAAATTTCAAGGATTTGGAGAAAACTGCCAAAACTTTTATGTAACCGGTGCACAGTGGGAGATTTAGGTTCAAAATCGCGACAAAAG